ACAATTATGTTACACCATGAGCTGGTTGAACTGCAGTCTGTGAATGCCCAGGGAATGTGGTGTATCAGGGGCAAAAATCCCCTCATCTGCCAAAATTGTCCATTCCTGCCCTAAGTTATAGCTGTTTAAAATAAATGTGTGTGTGTGGATAGATAGATAGATAGATAGATAGATAGATAGATAGATAGATAGAGACACTGCTGTTACTTTACATGATTACTCATGGTGACTATGTATTATCTTCAGTATGCTTGAGTTTCCCAAGGGTATCTAGTTCCCCACTGGGCAAACAGAAAACTGGGTAAAATAGCCCTTTAGTCCAATCCATCACACCTTTTCTTAGAATCAGGGGCAACTGGTGGCTTTGGTATCTGCTCTTAGCTTTAGTTAGATATTCAAGATGATGAAATCAGTAATGGAAAATTGAGACGAGTGTAGAGGGAGAAAGAATATTTTAAGCTATTCATTAAAATAGTTAAAAACCACATTAATTGTGTAGTTGGGCGGTTGAGAAATCATGATGAAAAGCATCCTCAACTGATCCTTAGGACTTACTGTATGCAAAATTAGCATATGTTAATTTTGCACAGGAAACAGCATTTTCTATAAAGAAACATAGAAAAAAGTTTCATGCACAGAAAATGCTATTTCTGTGTAAATCAACCATGTGAATTTTGCACACAGCAAGTTTCCAGTTACTTCATTTTCTTTGCCAGAAGTATTATTATTATTATTACTTTATTTGTACCTCGCTAGCATCTCCCAAGGGATTCGATGCGGCTTACAACAGGCCGGAGCCCAACACAATACAACAATACAATACATAGCAAATAAAACAGTTAAAGCAGAAAACAATAATAGTAGCAGTACAACAGGACATTATTAAAAACTGAGCCGGCCAGGAGTAGGGGTACAGGATTAAAAGTGCTGAAGTGTCAGAGGGATATGGGATTAAAATATAAGTGCAGTGTGCGGTGAGGGTGATCTTAACTCTACTAAAGTGCTTCTGGGCTTTGGTAGTGGGGTTCCTAATCTGAGAAGGCACGTTGGAACAGCCAAGTTTTCAGGTTCTTTCTGAAAACCACCAAGGTAGGGGCCTGTCTGAGATCTTTCGGGAGGGCATTCCAGAGGCGGGGAGCCACCACAGAGAAGGCCCTGTCCCGTGTCCCCACCAAACGCGCCTGCGACGCGGGCGGGATCACGAGCAGGGCCTCTCCTGATGACCGGAGTGAGCGTGTGGGTTCGTAGACTGTGATGCGGTCTCGCAGGTAGGGTGGTCCCAAACCGTTCAGGGCTTTGTAGGTAAGCACCTGCACCTTAAATTGGGCTCGGAAAATAAATGGCAGCCAGTGGAGCTCCTTAAACAGAAGGGTTGACCTCTCTCTGTAATGGGCCCCCATTAGCATCCTGGCTGCTGCCCATTGGACCAATTGGAATTTCCGAGCCGTTTTCAAGGGCAGCCCCATGTAGAGCGCATTGCAGTAATCCAGTCTAGAGGTGACTAAGGCATGGACCACCCCGGCCAGATCAGCCTTCGCGAGGTACGGGCGCAGCTGGCGCACAAGTCTCAGTTGTGCAAAAGCCCTCTCGGCCACCGCCGACACCTGAGCCTCAAGCGTGAGCGATGAGTCCAGGAGGACTCCCAAGCTGCGGACCTGTGGCTTCAGGGGGAGTGTAACCCCGTCCAACACAGGTTGCCACCCTATACCCCGGTCTGGTTTGCGATCGACCAGGAGGACCTCTGTCTTGTCGGGATTGATCTTCAGCTTGTTCGTCCTCATCCAGATGAACACAGCGGCCAGGCACTCGTCTAGCACCCGAGAGGCCTCCTTGGAATTAGGTGGAAAAGAGTAGTAGAGTTGTGCGTCATCTGCGTAGAGATGGCACCCAACTCCAAAACTCCGGATGACCTCTCCCAGCGGTTTCATGTAGATGTTAAAAAGCATGGGAGATAAAATAGAGCCTTGCGGGACCCCACAGGTCAAAGGCCAGGGAATTTCTATACTGAAATACCATTTGCTATAGAAAAATGATGTTCTCTTTGCAAAACAACCATAAGATGAAGCCATGGCAGTCAGAGCACTGCAATCTTATAGTATAAAGAGCCCCTGGATTCCATCTAACAATTTAATTTAACAGCATGGGGTTTTGTTAAGGTTTGCTTTTATTGTGAAACACTTGGAAGCCAGAAGTCAATCTACTGCAAAGTACGCAGTAATTTACGTGTAAGCATGACCTATCTTCAGAATAGTCTTGGCTGCACTCAACCCTGTAGCACACCTGTTCCGTTGCAAGAAAAGGTTACAAGTAACCAGGAAAACATGACAATGATTTCTTCCCTTCTCAACAAAAAGAAAGTTTTCTAAGGTAGCTCAGGATATTTTACTGAAAGCTACTTCTCTAGAACAGTAATTTGAGAATAACGACTACCTATTAACCATTCTGACTTCATGTATCAAAGACTGGTTGAACTACAATAAGTAGTTACTAATCCATGTTGAATGATCTTGGATCTGTGCCTTGAATGTGTAAAAAAAACCCAACCGTGTTGGCTGGTATTTTTTGCTTTCTGTTGTACATAATTAGCTTTCAAGATAATTACCTGGCTGATAATACCAAATGATGGCACTTTTTCAGGAATTTGTCCTGCAGATTACAATGGAAAAATGTAATTACAGTAAGTTCAAATTGTTAGCCAGACATAATGGTAGAATGTATATAATTTCTCATGAGCTTTGCAGACAGTTCAAGCAAGATTAGGTTAATGGAAATGCAGACACACACAAAATCTCACCTCACATTACATATATTTATATTACCTCTACTGCAGGATAAGTTAATAAATAACTAGTTAATGTTTCTTTTGTTAACCATGTAATTCTGCCAGTTTGATTTTTGTAGAAACCTAAGGTGTAGTTGGTGTATTACAGAAGTGACAAGTTGCCAGAGAACAAAGAACGTGCAACTAAAGTGTTAACCAGGGCTGCTTAAAGAGAGCATATATTTTTCTTAGTGAAACAGCTTTACTAGTTTCTGGGCACAATTTCCAAGTACTGCTGGTTTGGGCCTATAAAGTCCTATATGACTTAGGTCCAAACTATGAATGTGTCTCCCCATATGCCCCTCATACCCAAGAGCTACAGTGTTTGGAGCTGTGCTTTCTCTGTGTTTCAAAACCCTCCCAGGCGCACAGGGTGAGAACATGAGACACAGCCTTCTCAGTGGTTGATCCTATACTATGGATCTCTCTCCCAAAGGAAGTCCAAGTTAAGTTGTTCCCTTTCTGCTGTCTTCATGGAAACACAAAATTTTAAATATTGCCTATTTAACATTGCCTATTTAATAACAGTATGTCTAATTGCATGTTGGGTATAGAAACATGCAATTTGCCATGCTGTTTTGGAATATATATTACCTATATTTTGACATGCCTAATGCTAATGTTATAAAGGTAGCATTTCAATTGGATCAATGGTTTTATGTTTTTAATCTCTCCTATTCCATAATGTTTTATTGTTTTGTTTTAATTTGTGTTGCAAATCCCATCTGGGAGAAGGAAGGGAGGGGGAAGGAAGAAAGGTTAGAATCAGAATCATAAAGTTGGAAAAGACTATAAGGACGATCCAGTCCAATCCCCTGCCATGCAGGAACACAACATTATAGGTTGTTTTGAATAATCTTTGCATTTGCTTGGTGTATTCCATCTATTAATAAAAAACAAGGTGTTGTCATTTTTATGCACTTCATTTTATGCAGCATTTGCCTTTGAAGAAAGTACCTGTCTTCAGTATTTCGAAAAGTTGCATTTAAGAACCAGTTATGTTCTTTTCTTGGCAATCTGCTACTACAATTTGGTTACATAAAGGGATTCATTTGCCTCACTTTCCCTCTTGACAACAAAGTTCCACAAGAACAATATCTCTGAGTGACTGCAAATCATGAACAAAACCTTCAATCCATCCTTTATCCACTCAATTCTAATTCCTTTCTTTCCTACTTATTCTGCAAGGTGCTGTCTCTCCAGCAGAAAAATGGGAGTGGAATACTTTTAATAATAAATGTGATGGTCCAGAAATTCTCAACCATATGCTGCTTCCATTGTGAGCTATCAAAAGACAAGTGTTTATGTAAACTGTTACTCATCTGTTACACAAACAAACCAGCTTCTGTTCTTTATAGCTGGAAGGTACAGTACAGAATAGCATGCATTGAGCTCTATGTGCACAGTGGCCTCATTTGCTAGCTTGCAAACAGGGAAGCAAACCTGAGGAGAACAAATCTGGGGGAGGGGTTGTTCAGTGAAAACAGATAATATGCTCAAACATTTTGGTCTTTCAATATTTACACATTTTCATAAAATATCTGAGTTCCACTATTGAATAGAACAGTTGTTCTCAACCTGTGGGTCCCCAGATATTTTAGCCTACAACTCCCAAAAATCCCAGTTAGTTTACCAATAGTTAGGATTTCTGAGAGTTGAAGGTCAAAACATCTGGTGACCCACAGGTTGAGAACCACTGCCCTATAGGAACAAAGCTACTGCTAGCGCTTACCCAGAATGATGGGTGGAGCCCTCCTTTACTCAATCCATGAAGCTTTAATGGCTCTGGTACATACATTCCACATGCCAAAAGTGAAACTGGACCATCAATCCACTCAACTTTCTGCAGACCAAACTTTGGTTGAAAACCACTGGAATAAAATAATAGAGGAGAACATTTAATCTAGCCCCTGGGGCTAATGTGTCTGTCTGATGATCTCTATCTGACTCACTGCCATATGTCTACTACTTAAAGTACTGCACAGCCCACAAAGTAACAGGGGAGAAAACAGAGATGAAATTATTATTATTATTATTATTATTATTATTAGTAGTAGTAATGCTCTGCTTTTTCTCTCCACAAGGAGATTCAAAATGGCTTATATCGTAGAAGTCTTTAATGTTATCTGGAGATCTTCTCCTCAAATTCACCTATCCCTTCTCTTGCTTTCATATACAGGAATTTTTGGTCAGAAGCTGGAAGACACAGTCCGTTATGAGAAAAGGTATGGAAGCCATTTGGCTCCCATGTTGGTTGAACAGTGCGTGGATTTCATTCGGCTTCGTGGACTGACAGAGGAAGGGCTCTTCCGACTGCCGGGCCAAGCAAACCTTGTCAAAGAATTACAGGATGCATTTGACTGTGGGGAGAAGCCATTGTTTGACAGGTAAGATGATCATCTCCAGAGCTTGGAAACATTTTTTTTTGTGAAATTCATAACATCTAGAATCCACCAACCACTATTGGAAATTTGGGAACTGTCACCAAAAGATTGCATTTTCAAACTGAGTATTTCTTAGAACTTTTTGGAATCATTAGATTAAATGGTTGCTGCACAATCAAAAGCTGAGCATGTGTGTTGAATGGTGTTCTGGATTTCAGAGTCATGAAATTACAACCCTTTTCAGTCATGAAACTCCTGTCCCAGATAATTCTTTGATTCGAAAGAGATGTAAGGAAGCAGCAGGGGAACAGTTTTCATTCCCACGGAGCCTACCAGTGCAGCACATTGGAAATAATAGCATGTCACATCTGGGCACCATTTTCACCAGGGTTTATAGCGGAGAAAAGGGCATTAGGGGGATTTGGAAAAAGCCAAAGTTTGTATTACTGCCAATAGATTTCAAGCATTTTGAGCCATTGGGGAGAAGGAACCCACCACAAGGCACAAAATCTTAGCTTCACTGCCTGATCGCCCAAAAATAAAGTGACATCAAAGAAAGTACTGAGTCACTTGGTTGACACTGTAGGACTGTGGTGTAAAAGAAAGTAGCATACCAGCTGAAAGATGTTAGAGCTGCAGTCAATTTTATTTTAAAGTATTTCCATAAATGTGAAAATGACAGCGAATTGAACCAATCAGAGATCCTTTGGGTGAATGCACACAGGGTCAAGGAGAGGAACAGTTGGATTATTGATGTTGTAGTCAAGCTAGTACACTATTGAATGTTTTGCATCCTACCTTGGAAGGAAATCCAGTTGTTAAGCCCTAGGGAAGGAATTAGAATGAAACAGCCTATTCCAGAACTATTTTCATATGGCAAATATTGGAATGATACAAGCAATGTATCCTCCTAGGGATAAGGGGTCTAAATCAATATATACATGCATGTGTGAATCGAAATGTTCAATGTTTGCACTCTTCCCTATATGGGATTGCAAGGGTTAATTTAAAAAAATGATTTTCATTTGTATAGATTCTATAAAAACATAAGGGCTGCAATTCAGCATGCCTACAATGTGATGTAAATATACACATAGAATATACACTTAACCCCACAAGTAGAATACAAACATTGTACAGCACATAGTAATGACTTGGTGCAACCACAATGCACAACTGGAGTATGCACAATTCTGACATTACCCACAGAATATTGTTGGAATTGTATTAGTCAGTCCCAATGAGAAGAGTGAATTGTTTAATTATGAGTCAACAAACAGGTTAATCCTATTGTTTCAATAGGTCTATGTTTGGTAGGACTAGCAACATAATTCACCTAATGTTTGCGCTATGGTGAATGATTTACCTTGCACATGTAACTCAACTTACGTTTGCATATGTCACTAATTTAATTGTTTGTGCACCAAACACAATGGCTGGACTCCTGTTGATTAGTCACAATTGTAGTAGACTGCGTGAATCAGCATTTGAACTGTGTTAGCAAGCGCTAAAATCAAATGAATTCAATGGATCTTGCAGCTTGGTTTTTGGCAAACATTGTATGGAAAAGTGTGTTCTCTGCATGAATGAAGAGTTTTTGGCACACCGAAAATGAAATTTGGGTGGGGGGGGGGGTTAAAGGGAGAGTTTTTTATCATTTATTTTTAGCTTTTTGCACTTGTGTCAAGTCACACAAAATCTCATCATGGTTCATCCTTTTCCAACCATTCCTTCTCTGGGTTGATAAATTTATGGATATGGTTGGCATTTCTAGTAGTGTCATTTTAAGATTTTTCATGTTTTTCTTTCCAGTAGCTGGGAAGTAGGGACAAAATTAGCCCATGGCTCTCCCAAATAAAAATTCTATTCCTTGCTGCTGAAATTTTATTTCACTTCACAAATTTCTAGCATTGCAATAACTTCAAATTGCACTTGAATATTTAGAACAGTATTTCTCAACCTGGGGGCCACATGTGGGGGTTCAGAGAAGTCACCAAAGACCATCGGAAAACACATATATGTGATAGTCTTAGGAACCCCTTTGGCAGAGAAGGCTGAAGATCTCTCCACCTGTCATTCTCTTCCTTCTTGGAAACACACCATGAATCCTCCCACCAAAAGTCCTCCACCTTCTCTCTGGATGTAGGTGAACTACAACTCCAAAACTCAAGGTCAATGTCCACCAAACCCTTCCAGTATTTTCTATTGGTCATGGGAGTTCTGTGTGCCAATTTGGTTCAATTCCATCATTGGTGGAGTTCAGAATGCTCTTTGATTGTAGGTTAACTATCAATCCCATCAACTACAACTCCCAAATGGCAAAATCAATTCCTCCCAACCCCACCAGTATTCAAATTTGGGCATATCAGGTATTTGAGCCAAATTTGGTGCAGTGAATGAAAATACATCTGGCATATTAGATATTTACATTACGATTGCATTGCAGTAGCAAAATTCCAGTTATGAGGGAGTAATGAAAATAATTTCATGGTTGGGGGTCAACACAACATGAAATGTTTAAGGGGTCGCGACATTAGGAAGGTTGAGAACCACTGTTTTAGAAGTACAATTTTAGCATCCAAAGAAAAAAAGTGAACAATGTGACCAGGAGAACATAGAAAAATAGAAGCGTTCTGTGTGTGAATAATGTTTGATGTCTTGCTTTCTGGAATGCTGGAAAATTTGGGGCTGAAGAAGAATTTCATTTTTGGCAGGATAGAGTTCTTATTTGGGGGTGGGAGGAAGGTGAGGAGGAAGGGAGAGAAATCCTTTTAAATATGCCCTTGCCCTTTAATCTCTACTGTTAAACATGTGTAGTCTATGCAATGTATTAAGAAGAGGCTGTGTGATGAGGGATGTTGCTGCTGAGCCCCCGTGTTGATACAGTGAGGGCGTATTTCTGCTGGTCTCAGCAACTGCATTTCCTTCCAGTCTGTGAAGGCAGTTCTGCAAGAACTGTGCTCTGCAAAATGGTCTTTGTGGGTTTTGCTAAAGGAGACAGCCAGGGCCATTTTTCAATATGCATTTGCTTATAAGCAAAATTTCAAATCCAGCTTATTTTTTTAATTTTACACATACGTGTTTCATCTACTTTCGATTTGTCCTCCACCCTCACCCCACCCCCATCCCAGTTTAACAGCCAAACATTGTAGCTTTCTAACTGGGATTTGAAGAAGGTATGGGAATATTTTCAAATAAGCAAAGATTGAGTTGGAATCTTCTGCTTTTCAGCTAAATTGGTACTCCCAAGATACATTTACAGCATCTAAAAAAAAATAGTGAAGGAGTAGTGATTGCAGTAATCCTGAAACCAATATATCTGAAGCAATCCCACTGAAAATTACAAAATTATTTGGAAAATTGATGTCAACAGTGTCTTTAGATGTGTATGTATATGGTAGACCCCTGTTCCTTCTCTCTTTCTTAACAGAACCATTAAGAATAGTGTGATTTAATGACTCCCATGTCATTAGGGCAGTGGTTCGCAGCCTGTGGGTCCCCAGATGTTTATGGCCTACAACTCCCAGAAATCCTTGCCAGTTTACCAGTTGTTAGGATTCCTGGGAGGTGAAGACCAAAACATCTGGGGACCCACAGGTTGAGAAGCACTACATTAGGGCAATGAAATCAATTTGACCTTTAAATGAGCTCTATAGGGGGAATTGGGGGTGGGGTTATGAGCTAGCCCATTGGCCATTTACATTCATTTTTGAAATGAGAAAATCAAAGGTGATATAGAAACTACTAGCCATGAAAAGCTTACAATTAAAGATGGCAATCCAACATTTTTAAAAGGTGTTTCAAGCAACTATATTGCCAGTCCCCCTTTCCTTGCCTTTTTGAAAAAAATACTATAATACCCTACATCAAAATATCCCTAATTATACAAATATGCAACAATCATCTTCTAACCTGACCACTGAAAATCTTCTTTAATGGCCAACATTTAGACTGAGCCACGGAGGCCTGTTTAGCTGCTGATTGCAATGAAGAAGGAAGTTTTCATTTCCCTCCCATCAGTCAATGGGACTGTGTCATGGAATTGTGATGGGATCCTGCTTCTGATTGTCATAATCCCAGTCACTGGTAGGAGAGGTCTGTCAATGTCATCCTTCTGCACTTTAATCTCAACTGTTTGTTGCAGATACTGGCTCTTAAGATGAATTGTGGAGACATTTGCAACCACGTCATCAAAGCCGCAACTGTAGTATTACTGAATACAAAACAGTAATGCGATTGTAACTCTAGGTTAGTAACCCATAACTGCAATTTGGGATGCCGGTCCTTGTCTTGCTTACCACCTGAAGGCAAAATAAATCAAGATCTACCTGCATAAGAGTCAGTACAATACCTTGTTACTGTTCATGGTAGCACTAGTAGTGGGAGTACTATTACTGCATTTTTTTCATGTTAGGAGTGACTTAAGAAACTGCAAGTCACTTCTGGTGTGAGAGAATTGGCCATCTGTAAGGATGTTGCCCAAGGGACACCCAGATGTTTGATGTTTTACAATCCTTGAGTTTGTTTATTGTTGTCATTTTCGGTTTGTGTTTTTGGTTTTCTTTATTGCAATTGTCATTTGGGCTTGGCCTCATGTAAGCCGCTCCAAGTCCCCATCGGGGAGATGGTGGCAGGGTAACAAATAAAGTATTATTATTATTATTATTATTATTATTATTATTATTGTGGGAGGCTTCTCTCATGTCCCCACATGGGGAGCTGGAGCTGACAGAGGGAGCTCAACCTACTCTCCGCTGGCCTGTCAGTCAGCAGTCCTGCTGGCACAAGGGTTTAGCCCATTGCACCATCGGGGGCTGCATGTAGTAGCAGTACTCCCACTGTAATTGCTACTTTGAACGGTCTTACACTGTGGTGCAGCAGCATTCCAAACCACAATTAGGATTTAAATATGATATCCAGTTACATGAAGAAGCAGAGTCATTATTTTTATATGACTTCAAGCTGTTTCGGACCTGTGATTGGCCTAAGGTGAAGCTATTGCA